AGGGAACCATTGCTACTGTGAGTTCGCCAGTACAGTGGTCCTGGCTTAGTGTTCTGCAGCACTCCTCCCTAGTCTCCTTCTTTCAAATTATTTTTGCTCCCTCTTTCTAGATGCTTTCTGAACCTTGGGGGTTTGATAGAAATGTCTCATTTCAGGCTGAATACTCAAAAGTCACGTATTCTTACCACGTTGATCAGTGATCACTGATGCTGTTCATTGTAAAAAGTTTCTCTAAGTTGAGAGCAGCACCAATTTAAAGGTATAAATGTAAACATTTGGAAGGCAATTTAACAGTATTTATCACAGAGCAAAGTATCAACAGGAGGTTGCCCTCATGGCCTATGATTGCCTTTTGACCTGGTTTATAGTATGAAGCAAAAATTCTTCCTGTGGCCCAGGTCTCAGATCTATTCAGAAAGCAGCTGGTTACCCATAATAGTTTGTGTTTTTTTGTTTGCTTGTTTTTTTTTTTTTTTGAGACAGGGTTTCTCTGTGTAGCTTTGGAGCCTGTCCAGGAACTCACTTTGTGGACCATGCTGACCTCAGATTCACAGAGATCCACCTGCCTCTGCTGGGATTAAAGGTGCGTGCCACTACCATCCAGCCTACCCATAATAGTTAAGTCACTAATGGCATATATTGCCAAGCAGGTTGCTATTGTAGCATGCATGGTCCAATGCTGATGAGACCATTGATTCCTATTTTCTCCCAAGTAGTCTGCAGGCCATCTTCTCGACAGAAAACATTCAGGTCAATTCCAGCTTGACTTCATCCACTACACCCTGCATAATGGGTCTTACCATGTACCTATGGTGGGAAATCAAGAGTAATGGTGAAAGCTCATAGGAAAGTATCCCAACCCTCGCATTGAGGTTTTCATTTAATAACCTATTAATTAAATGTACATGGCTCCATGAGTGAAGGCACTTGCTGCCAAGCTTGACGACCTGAGTTTGATCCCTAGGACCTACGTCACAGAAGGGGAGAACTGACCCTTATAACATTTGTGGTACAGTAATGCACACACACACACACACACACACACACACACACACACATACATAAATGGGAAGGGAGGGGGAGAATGAACATCAGGGGTCTAGGATGTGGCTTGGGTCGGTAGAGTGCTTGCATAGCATCCAGGGGCCCTGGATTCCATTCCCACTACTGCATAAAATGGGTGGACCATGCACACCTACAACCTTGGCTATTGCAAGGTGGATATCTTAGAATTAATTGAAAGTGTTACGATAAATGAAGATGGACTGTGGCTCATAAGACAAAAGTGGCACAGAGCTTTTAACACCAACCAACTTTTGTACTTGGAGAAATATTGTTCTAAAATGAGCTTGCGTTTCAGAGACTCCAATGGGAACAAAAACAAGTGTTCAATAAAATATGGCTATTTGAGGCGGTTTCCGTTTCCTTGAGATAGGACCTAGTTTACTGAGCATGTTAGTCAACCATATATACTTAATGAATGAGTCTAAGAAGGTTTTTTCAGGAATATAAAAGCTACAAGCTTGATAGAAGTGCAACCTCTGTACGCACATGATCACATGCAGGATGTGTAAGAAATTTAGTGAGATTGGCTGCTAAGACACAACACGGAATTTGTCTGTCTTTAGTGATACAGGATTAAAATAAAAAAAAAATAAATAGCATTCCAGACCTTACGTGGTTTATTCCTTCAGTCATTTCAAACATTTTTCAAGTATATGGTTATCTGCCGCTCTTGGGTACTCACCTCCCTGAATATGTGCTGGTATACATCAAGTCTGTGCAGCAGTTACTTCTGTGAGATTTTAAGTTTCACAGTGATTAATGCATTTACATAAATCTCATTTTATGCTGTTTTGAAACCTCTTTTGAAGAGTCAGCTTTGGTAGAAGCTCAGACAAGATCCATTTGTACAGAAGTGGTGTTTATGTCTTTTGATGAAAGTGCCTTACCATAAATGATTATTTTTGGCATACCAATTAAAGGAGGAGGATGAAGACAATGCAAGAGACTTATGTATAGGTCATAGGGTTTTTAATTTTGTAAGCATTTTGTATGTGTGTGTGAATGTGTGTGTGTTCATGCCAGAGGTTAACCCCAGATGACAAGTGGCTTCCTCTGTTGTTCTCTTCTTTGAAGTTTTGAAATAGGGCCTCTCAACCCTTACCTGGAGGCTGTCAACTTGGTCAGTGAGCCCTGGGGATCACCTCTCTCTGCTTCCCCAGTGCTGGGATTACAAGTGCAGCCCACCACTCTCAGCTTTTAGAAACTAGGCTCTAGGGATTGAACTCAGGTCCTCATGCTTGCAGGACAAGCACATTACTTACTGAGCCATCTGCTCAGGCCCTGGTATTTCATTAAAAATGTAGAGATGTATTGTCTTTGTAGCTAAAACAGTGCTTAATTATCCAATTAATGAAACTCCTATTTTTTTGTAAAACATTAGAAATTTCTTACTACCTATTAATTTTGTTTAAAGTGTGATATTTTCCTCAGTTTTTCCAAACCAAGAACAGGGCTAATCAACTGGACATTTAATATTTTATCTTTTTTTCAAGACAGGGTTTCTCTATATCCTTGGCTGTCCTAGAACTCAATTTGTAGACTAGGCTGTCCTTAAACTCATAGAGATCCTTCTGCCTCTGCTTCCCAAGTGCTGGAATTAAGGGTGTGTACCACTACCACCTAACAATATTTTATGTTTTTAAAATTATGTGAGTTAAATTAGGAATCTTGATAATTATTTTATTATGAAATTGATAAAATGATTCTATGTTGTAATGTTAAGACAACCACATTTTTCACTATAGGGAAGAATGGCTTGAGTTCTGTGTCAGAAATAACTGGAGAGTGTTTGCCATCACCAGTACTTATATGAGTTTAAACATCTGAATAACTACTGAATTGCAAGATATTATAATTAAACAGATGAATTATTAATAAAATCACAAATTTTCACAGTTTTTAGTTCACCATAAGTTATAACCAATCTCAACTTCCTGTAGCTAATACTGGGCCAAAATATAGAAAGTAAATACGGTCAAAGCTACAAGAAAAAAAATTGAAGTTTCTCATAGCTCTGACTATTATCTTTTAAATATAGGTTGAGTAGATAAAAAAAATCAGTAATATGTAGAATTGAGTAAAATCAAAGTTCCCCAAGCAAAGGATATTGCATTGAACCATATCGATGTACATACTCTTTGAGAGGATGTGAACTGTTTTCTTAAATTTGACTGTATCATTTGACCAAAAAAAAAATTCCCCAGAAAATTTAAATATATTTCAGTAAGTCATAGCAAATTCTCTGACCATTATTCAGTGATACTAGGAATACATTTGTAATTTTGAAAATCTATGTTTTGAGCCATCTATTTCTTTACATGGGATGTGGTAGATGATGGAACCCCAAGACACTACCTAAGGCAATTAAGGAAATATGAAGACATTTCAGAGGTCATATATTAAGAGATATGTGAGAGCTATGAGAGGGATATGGACCACCAGGATAACATGGAAAGAGTCTTTCTGATGTAAACAGCCATTTTCTTCTCTGGGTGCACTTACTGTTTCTGGGCATGGAATAGATAGGATCAGGTTGGGGGTCCAGGCAGATGGTTTTTTCCTGTGGAAATGAGAAGTCCAGCAAGGCTATTGGTGGTCATGTGGGACTGATTCAATAGATCAGAAAATTGGAAATCTTAACCAGTTTCTTTTGTCGTTTGTAAATTGTACTACTCAGGACACAGGCATTAGATAATGAGATTGTAATTATTGAGATTTACTGGTGACTCTTCATAAGTACTTACCATTTTATTCTCTTCTAGAAGTGTGTAGTGTTAGTTTTTACATTTAGGTCTACATTCTGAGGATGTTGTACTAGAACCAAGGAAGCTGATTTAGCTGGAAGAAATAAGACTTGAATAAGAGGTGATTGATTCATGACTCTGCTAAGTACTCTTCATGGAGCTTAATAGTTCACTTGGCTTGCATAGAGAGACAGCCAAATAGCTCATTACATCCTGGTCAAGGTGGCAACAGGAGTAATTCTCAAAGGATGGTTTATACAGTGAAAGGAGACTGGAAGTCAATATCCCAAACAGGTCACAGCCGGGGCTCCAAGCCTTTTGTTTGCCATGCAGTATGTGCACTCATGAAAATGGGGGAGGGAAAGGTTTTCACTAAACTGGCCTCAGAAACACCCAGGACAGACTGATGTCACCTCTACAAGCAAGCTGCTTTGAATTACTTCAGTATGAAAGTGTGTTCCAGAGCTTGGAACATTAAATCAAGTCTTCCTTAGAAATGAATTAAACACCTCCCTCATGATGTTCACTCTCTTCGCTTCTCTTTTTTCCTCATTCTTTGGCATGCTGATCCTTCCTATCCCCATTTTTCTATTTTTCCTTTTAGTAATGACAAAATAGAATGTATAGTACTCAGCAACCCACAGGGCAGTGACCCTTTTTGATGAGCCTCTAGCCACTCAGCCCCCACACCCTACTGTGTCTTGAAGGCAATATATTCTTCTGAAAAGGATTAACTCCCTGATGGGTGGACCACATTTTCTAGCAGGTCGCTTTGCTTACATTTCTGAGTGCCTATGACTAACCTATCCCTTACTCTTGGGGCAGAGTACAAACACAGCTCTCCTTTTGTGTTTCTGGGGGAACGTTCCCTTCTTTGAGCACTATGACTTTTCTATGATCATTTTCCATGGAAACAACACTTCCTCTCTTACAAAAAATGACTTGTGTCCAATCTAGACCTTGAAATCTACAAAGATGGGAGTGTAGGCAGAATTTCCCACAAGGCTTTGGTTAATAATTAGCAATTAACAGTAAAAGAAACATTAGGAAAGGAATTCAGAAAAGGGTTGTAGGAAAGAGCTTCCAGGGCCTTCAGGAACAAAACTGTCATCCACTGTATGCCTTAGCATCTCCTTAAAACACACAAAGGAAAGCAAACGACAAACAAAAATAACCACAGTGACATGGCTGGCCATTTTGGGACCAATTTATGTTGTATTTCTTCATCCATCCCAAACATACCCCAGAGAATGCATCAGACCTTCTGAACATTCATAGCTTCCTTAGGCCAACTGTAGGTATCTAGTGTGAAGGAGTCATAGTCTGGAGTGTAGATCAGAGATCTTACAAAAGCCTCCTTGTCCTTGGGCTCTGGATAGTAGGAGGCCAGGTTGTGTTTATATGCATAGTCGAGGACCTAGGAAAAATATGTTTGGATGAGAAACTAGATCTATGGGAAAATCTGCCTTAAAAGCCCCTTACTTGGCAGCCAGGGGTGAAGGAACAACCCCTAAAGGACCAGTCTTGTTTGTCTTCAGTTGTCACCCATGACACCACTGGAAGGGAAGATATTAAAACATTCTTTCTAGATTGTACTTGATTTTTTTCCCCAAGGGGCTAGTAGTTCCTCTCTTCCAGAACTCTCAAGATGGATTCATACCCAGTGCCTGGGCCAACGTCAGAGAGAGGCCTAGCCTATTATGCCTGCTTCTAATGCCCTACAGGTTTCTAGCAAATGATAAACTTGCTGAGTATGTCAGCTTACTGCTTGGCAAGCAAAGTAGTGATAACTTTCTTCTAGAGTGATGTGAAGACAATTAAAGTTAGTATGGAACCCATTCCTATGTAGGCTGATGTGGTTGAATTGGATGATGTGGTTGAATTTGTGAAATAATAACCCCCAGTGAAGTAAGTGGACTGGGTGAGCTGGACCGGGACATGGATTGTTGGACTTCATTCATAATTGCTTCTTAAGGGTACTTGCTCTGGACAATTTATGGGGACTATGTATTGCTGTGCAGTGCAATTTCTGAAATTGTTATTCTTACAGAAAAAATACACTAATGGAAAGGACATCATATATCTATTATGCAGCTTGGATAATTATTGTTTAAAATTGGTCTTTATAGTATTATGCTTTCTTCGAAAAACCATTATTTTTACATAAACTCATAATCTGGAATGCTCTGTGAACCTCATCAGCCCTTAAAGAGATAAAGGGGAAAAATAAGTATCTACTTTGGCTAGCAGGAGCTTTTAATCTCCAGAGTTTTGGGAGGGAGGAACTCCTGGCCTCTACAGAAAAGCAGCTAAGGTTCAGGGAAGTGAAGCTATTGGGCCACCATGATTCTTCTGCTCTTTGACAGAGTGGGGACTCCAAAGCCTGACTCTTTTCCATGATGCTGTATAAGCTGACCTTTCCCATAAATGAGTGACTATGATTCATTAAAAAAAAATTCCACCCACATTCTGGTTCCCAAGACCATGGCCTCTGATGACCTTCCTTCCTCATGTTTGTGGGGGAATGTGGGAGCTTCCTAGAATTGGGCTGGGTGGGTGCTTGGGGTGGGGCTCAGGCTGTTGAGCAGGCAAGAGCTTGTCACCCAGTCTGTGGGTTGCATGCAGCAAAGCTCAAGGAGCTCAAGTTTCCATGGTTGCCTAGTCCCCAAGATGTCATAGGAATAGGCAGAGCCTTACTACCCACATTAGAGGGTTACAAGGAGGATGCCCCTTACTTTGACTGCAAGTCTCAGAGACACATCTCGGATGGTGCTGAGTGGTGGGTACAATCTCCCCTGAGACAGGTGCTGTTCGGAGACTTCTTGTGCAATATTCTAGAAAGAGAGAGACAGAGAGACATATACAGAGACAGAGAGGCAGAGAGAGACAGAGAGAGAGAGAGAGAGAGAGAGAAGGAAGAAGGGAGGGAGGGAGGGAGGGAGGAAGGGAGGGAGAGAGAGAAGTTGATTCTTTCTTTATAGAAAAAATTCATCCCCTTATCCCAAAGCTTGTCAAGTAGAGCAACCTATGCCACACATAGCCCTAAGGAAGCTTAATGCTTAGGCTTAAAAAAACACTATTCTTTCTGTTCTAAGCCTGGCTGAAGATTAAAACAGTACAAGGCTCCATGGATTCTAGAAGGAAATCGCTAAGACCAAGATGAATAACCTTGTGACCTGAAGACAAAGACTCCATCCTCCAGTTGGTCACAGCCTATTTATTACACAGGAGTCTCTGACCCTTACTTCTTGGGTCCTAGTCTCCTCCCACATCCTTGGTGTCATTCTGGGTGGCCATCTAAGCAAAAACATTTCCCTGTTCATGGCTTTATGAACTTTCCTTTCCAGCCTTGTTTCTGGTCTGATGCCAGTGTCAGGGGTGAGTGAGTAGGAGACAAGAGAGGGTAATCCAGGGGTCATTGGACCTGGTGTTGAGCCACCAACCCTATTAGAAGCATCCTAGAGAGGAAAGCAGCAGTACCTCTGCTGTCAGGAGAAAGATTTCGTCTGGGATGTGTCGGATCCCACCGGCAATGACACCCAGTGCTACCCCAGGAAACACATAGGCATTGTTTCCCTGACCAGGGATGAAAGTCCTGCCATCTTCCAGAGTCACATGCTTAAAAGGACTTCCACTGGCAAAGATCGCTCGGCCCTGGAAGTAGGAAGAAAAGCAGAGTTGGAGCTTGGGGACAGGTTAGGGGCAGTCATGGTAGCCTATTCTTATCTCTTAAATGTTGGGCCCATCTCCACCCTCCCCTAAGTGTCCAGAATAGTGAGAACTTGATAAATACTCTAAGAATAATTTATTTATTTGACCAGAAGGCTATGCCTTGCTGCCCTTCAAGTTATTGACAGTGGAGGTCCTGGTGCCTCTTCCCCCAACATCTGGGAGGGCCAATACAAGATAGTTGGCTATAGAATATAGAAGCCATGGGTATTAGACAAAGCTCTGTTGTTTGGGGCAACCTTCAATAGTCCAACATCATGGGAAGAACTTTAGTTTGGATTTAGATCTAAGCTTGAGGGTTAGCTCTATTCTTTATTAGCTTGATGATCTTGGGAAAGTTGATTCATCTTTCTAAACCACAGCTTACTCATGGTGACGGGACACTCTTTGTCATCCTTGTAGGGTTGCTGGTAGTAACTGTTACTACTTTCTCTCAGCTAGTGGGAGGAAGGACTCCCCACTGACCTCTGTGACCTGGTAGCACTTCTCGGCTGTGCACTCAGCCTTGCTGGTGGGGTTGCTCAGGGCAAAGATGATTGGGCGCTCATGGAAGGAGGCCATGTCCCTCAGAATCTGCTCCGTGAAGGCTCCTGCGATGGCAGCAACACCTACAGGGAAAAGAGTAGTAGGAATGCCTACTCTGTATATACATCCCATTTCTCTTGTAGCACTGGTACCCCATGACAGACTTGGGAACCTTGAGGATAGAATCTGATATAGGAGTTGAGGGTGCAGAAGGGAAGAGTCCTGTTGCGTGAGCTAGCTAAGACCTCTTGTGCACTCTGGGGAGACCACCGGTCCGTTTCAAGTCTCTGATCTTTAAGGTGCACCTTGAAGGCATTCCTGAATGTTGTTGTTGAGAGCACAGTGTTTTTCATTACAGGTACAGGTGCCAGGACCCCAGTCTTGGAGTGGAAGGAATGCTCATCTCCACGCTAGAGAGCAACACCATGTTTTCCCACTGTATATATCATTCTGTGTCACCAAGTCCCAACTCTGACCCTTCATTTCTATGGTTTCTATACAGAAGTCACTCAATACAGGTTTATGGCACTGAACCAGACACGGGAGAGGGGTAACAGCCATGATTCTATAGGTTGTTTATGACTCTTCACCAAGTCTCAGACTGTTCATCTGCAAGTCAAGAGGGTTAGCTGGTGGTGGTGGCCCCTTCTTCTTCCTACCTATAATTGCTGTGGGCTTCACCAGCCTCACTACTTCCTCCAGGGAGTTGACTTCAGGATGGTCTTGGGCAAACATCTCCTTCTCATGGTTCAGGTGGCTCCTACCCTGTAGGAAAAGAAGGAAGATGGAGCAGCTGTGGAGTAGCTATGGTGTAGCTGTGGTGTTGAGGGCCTATTGAGCAGGGCCTTGATGCACTAGGGCCTTGATGTACTAGGATTCTGATGGAATTTCTTATTGAACCTTGTGTTTTAGTCTCAGTCTTCAGAATAGTGAGGCCCAGACCCTTGATCAGATTTCCCAGCAGAGTCTAAGTGGACCCTAAGGGAATGTATAAATGTTTATTTAAAAATATGTTTTTATTTTAATTCTGTGGGTATTTTGCATTTGTGTTCCATGTGCAGGCAGTGTCTGTGGAGGCTAAAGTGGGCACCGGGTCCTATGTAACTGAAGTTACAAACAGTTGTTAGCTGCCATGCAATCCAATCAATCCAATCCAATCCAATCCAATCCAATCCAATCCAATCCAATCCAATCCAATCCAATCCAATCCAATCCAATCTGGGTCCCCTGAAAGAGCAAACAAGTGTTCTTAACCTCTGAGCCATCTGAGCCACACAGAAGAAGAATCAGCAAATCATATTTTATTTTTAGCTGTTGGGGGTTATGGGCTACTGGGCTAGGACAGAAAGACTCCTAGGAAATTCCTTAGCCTTACTGAATCTGCTGGTCACAAAAAGTGAAGTCTACAGGTTTGCAGAACGACAGGCCTTGAGACTTTCTGTGCCAGAGATCGAACATGAATGGATTCAGTAGGATCCACTCATCTTCCTGTGAGTCTCACTAAACTGAGTCTAGGATAGGCTGATCATGCCAACTGTGAGAAGCTCCAGATTTCTTCTCATTTCTTCAAACAGGGCCCACAGGTGACAGGGGACACAAGTGCAGTCACTTCTGATGGCTCCAGCTGGCCTCAAGTGCCAGAGGGATGATATCAAGCCTACAGTTCCTTGATTAGAAGTCAGCTCAACAGGGTGAACAAAATGATGTTGGAAAATGCACAAGTTAACAGAGTCAGCAGTGTCTGGTAACCTGCTCAGAGACCATTCTCTGGAATGACGGGGATGGGAAGATGCATCACCAGGCCCAAGTCCCTTTCAATAGGGGTCTGGCTGTGCAAAGTTGTGGAAGAATGAGCATATATCTTTGGAGGACTGTGATCCGATATGGCTAAGAAAAACTCAAGGCAGGAAGTGTTAGGAGAAAAGGCTGGAAGGGGTATTCAGGTACACATACATGTACATACATACCCACATCCATCTGTCCACCTACCTATCTACACACACAAAACCCATACACATATGGTCAAAACTTTTGGACAACAGCAATTAAAGCTTTTGCTTTGGAATTTAAGTTTCCTTTTGCTTTCCATTCTAAGCTAAGTATTCTACCCTCTGGAGAACCCTTCCTTCCTTCCTTGCTTCATTTCTCTTCTTCCTTCCTTCCTTCCTTCCTTTCTTTATTTCTCTCTCTCTCTCTCCCCCTCTCTCCTTCCTTCCTTCCTTCCTTCCTTCCTTCCTTCCTTCCTTCCTTCTCTTTTTCTTTGGCAGGATTACTCTGTGCAGCTCTGACTGTTGTGGAACTTCTTCAATAGGCCAAGCTGGCCCCAAACTCAGATCCACCTATCTTTGCCTCCCCAGTACTGGGATTAAAAGCATGTAGTACCATGCCTGGTTGGAGAATTCTTTCAGTTTAGTTCTTGGCAGCTCTAGGTGCCAGGAAACTTCCAGTTTTTCAGACCTGAACAGTACCTTGACAATTAAACCCCTGGAGTCCACCATCCAGATCTTCCTTATGGCTTCTGCCTTGGGTACGCCTTCCTTTTCCAGGGCCATAACAAGGAGGTGGGCGATGCCCATGGCTGCCTGTGTGTTGGGGGCATAAGGATAATGTTTAAATTCAAAGCACACAGTTACTCAGCACATACTATATGTTTCACCAAAACGAGCCCTTTTTCTTTTCCTCAGCACCAGAAATCCTGGGAAGCCCAGTTAAATCCTTACATTGAGAAACTCAAACACTGAGACTCAAAAAGCTGCAATGATCAGAACACACTCATCCTGTTTCCTCTGGTCAGAACCCCAGTCCTCTCACTATAAATGCTACTCCACCCATTCTTACTCTTCTTACAACAACTACTGTAGAGTCCTCCTAATGGTACTCACCTCACCTGCACCCTGGAAGACAAACACATGATTGGAGAGCCTGTTCTTGGTGATTCTCAGAGCAGCCAGGATCCCTGCCACAGCTACAGAGGCTGTGCCTGCAACAGAGTAGATCATATCAACCTGTGGCCTCTAGCACTCAATCCCCATGTAAAGACTTGGCACAGTTCCCAACATCTGGGACCTGTGGGGAAAGAAGCAACTATTCTTAACTTTTAAAGAAATCCTATCTCTGCTATAACTTAGGAGACTGAGGCAGGCAGATTTCTGAGTTTGAGACCAGAGGACAAGCAGGAATACACAGAGAAACCCTGTCATAAAACTAAAACCAACCAACCAAGCAAAAAACCATACTCTCCCAAACAACCCCCCCCCAAAAAAAAGACCAAAATAAAATGAAAGCAAGCAAGCAAGCAAACAAACAAACAAAAACTAATGAAATCATATCTGCATGCACAAGGATTCAGGGCAAATTGATACAATTTCCTCCCTTTTACTCTAATTAACTGTTTGAGAAATAGTGCCTGGAATTGTTACTTGTCCACATGAGATAACCAGCTAGCGAGGCACTGCTGCTGTTACTATGTTGTGGTCATTTGATCACACTGAACTCAGAGTTTTTGTTTGTGTTAATTAAATAAAATCAACCTTGGGTCAGGAGATAGAGCCAGCAACTAGTTGACAGAAAGCAATCATAGAGAGTCAGAGGGAGTCTGGAAGACATATAGAGACACACAGGAAGTAGTAGGGAGGGACTTTGAGTGTAGTGTTTTTGGATTGGCTGAGCAGAAAGACACTTTCATTCTGACATGCCAGCAAAGAGGATGATCAGCCAGTTGCTCCCCATCCTCTCCAAGCTAGCAGATTTTCACTCCAGCTTCTTACTCCCAAGTCTTTACTGCTAAATAGAATGATAGAGATTTAGTTAAAAACTGCATTTGGTGGCAGCTGCAGGAAGTGGATCTGGTGGGTAAAAGTCCTGCCAGGCTGTTATTGGAGAAGATCAGTAACTGTAGAGCTGCAATTACTGGCGGAAACAACAGTAGATTCAGGTGCAGCTGCTGTATTGGCAGAAAAACAAAAACAAAACAAAAATCCAACAAAAAATCCAACACTATTATTAACAAATGAAGGTACAGGTTATATGTAATTAATAGATGCCAAACAAAACAAAACAAAAAACAAAACCAGAAGAAGTGTAGGGGAGTGAATGAAATTCTGAGTGAATGTGATTGCTGACATGGCACAGCCAAGTCAAGGACCCCAATACCTTGGATTGCAGGACTATTAAGAGTGTACAGAAAGCATCTGCCGAAGCTTCCTGCTCCCAGATGTTTACAGCCTGAGACTCCTCCCTATGGAGACCTCTTCCAGAGACTAGCTAACTCCTCCTCTAGTGCTGTACATAATAAGCAGGCAGATTCCCAGTGTAGTCCTCATGCCTTCCATCAGAGTGAACATGGTCCACCTGATACCAGCTTCCTTACATGTGTGTTTGTCATTCCTTCAGTGTCTGTCATTTCTTCATTTCTGTTGTCATCCCAGCCAGGTTTCCTGGACCAAGTCACACAGGACTTGGCACCCCTAGAATTACTCATTTAAGGGATAAAGACATGATGGGATCATGAGCCATCAAGCGATTGGGAGTCGTGAGCTGCCCATCTTACCCATCACATCATAAGAGTGTACATGGCAACAGTATGTAACCTATGATTTGATTCAGCAAACAATACATTGTTCCCTTTCTCTCACATCCAGAACACAAGCATCTCTCACAATCCTGCCAGATAACTCACTCAGAATTTATGCTTCTTATGACTACAAGTTTGTGCCTTGCCTGGTTAGAGGCCTTAACTCACAAGAAAGAAAAACTTCCATTAAGAATCACAACAGGTCTCTACTGAACTGGGGACAGAGACCACCACCTTTGCATTAACTCAGTAAGCAAAGAAGACTCATTTCTCTGACTATGGGGGTTGCTTCTTATAACTATGAGGAAGATAAGCACCAGGAAGGAACATGGTTGGAGCTGGGGCATCCTCTGGGGGTATTGATATTCCCATGCTTGTTAGTAAATATGAATGGGTGTGACAAGAGAGGCAGGGCTATTAATGATCCAGGACCTTCAGAAATGTAGGCATAGGCCACCTTACTGGATGAAGAACCCTGGACAGATAAAGTCTTGCCTGAGGACAAGAAAACAGGAAATGGTTGAGGAAGAAATTTATGAGCACCAGTGACATTGTATGAAAGGAAGCGTATCAGCTCAGGACCCCCAAGACCAATTTCTCAGCATAAAGGAGACTGATTTGCCCCAGAAGGACAGAGGGCAGGAATAAGAGGCAAGGAGAGGTCATAGAGGACTAGTGAGAAGGGGACAGGAACAAGGGAAAGGGTGCAGGACATTTGTTCAGAAGGGACAAAGGACTGCCTCTGGATAGAGGGGAGACAGATGTGGCACATAGGAAAATTGTGGTTTATAAAGGTAAAATGAGGTGTTTAATTTTTATTGGGCATGTTAATTAGGTGAGCCAAAGGTGGCATTTTGGTTGCTGAACTTTGATAGCTGGACTTTCATAGTCAGCTTCAGGAGGAGAAAGTGGACAGATAAGGGAGTAGACGTTGGTGGGTGGGTTTAGGAATATAATCTAATGGTTTTTTAGCAAGGCAGAGGGAATGAGAGAGAAAAGCAAGGCCTACCAGAGCCATGCTCACCACACTTGAGCTGGCCAGAATCCCTTCATTATGACTGGCTAAAGAAACCAGTATGCATAGTTCTTTCTTTGTTATATCACAATAGATAATGGAAGACATTAACTAATCCTCCCTTCTTTCTCTCTTAATCATTTTATACAATTTTTGGAAGTTAATTCTTCAGTCTTTAACAGAGTTTTCAACTTTGACTGGAGTTTAAAAGCAAGTTAATTCTTCCTAGAGATGGTTATATATATATAACTCTCTTGCAAATAACAAACAATTTCAAGACTCAGCTAGTCTCTTCTTACTCTGGGGAGAAGGCAAGACTGTCTTCACTCATTGGAGATAGTTCTCTTTTGTTAGAGTTGCGTTTGTCATCTGTAAGTACTAAGGCGTAGAATGACGTGCAAGGATGTTGAGTAGGCAAGACTCTACCAATTAAAACGTACTTTCTGAGCTTACACTGAAGTGCAAACCACCAACTGGCTGTATGCTGGGATCTGCCAACAGGAGGCACTAGAGAGCAACTGAAAGGCTACAGTTGCCTCAGTCTTATAGAATCACAGCTAAATTGGAGGGCATTTAATAACACTTGAATTTTAGATAAAAATTATTTTGTATGGGTTTTATCCTATGAAACACTAGTATGGTTTTTAAAAGTATTATTAATTGATATAGGGATTAAAAAGATTCAGAGTTTTGCTTTTGCTGCCAGACAATCCCAGACTTGATTCTTACTTCCACAGTGGCAGTTGAACCCCTTCTTCAATTCATCTATCATTTAGCTCACAGCATGCCTATCAGCACCAGCCAGTAGCCCCTCTTCTCTTTTGTTCCTCAGCCTCAGGGGGTGGTAGCAGAGTCTTAGTGTTTCTTTTCTGCGTTTCAACTCCCTAATACACAATTAACATTTTTTATGTTGCGTGCTTTCTGTCCAGGTCTCTGGGACAGACTCTAACTGATACTGAGGGCTCAAGACAAAACTCTAATCGCAGTGTCAATATTAATGAGGTCATAGAAAAGGAAATTAAAGTGGTGCTGTTTATGGTCTGCTCCATTTTCAGTTAGAAAAGAAAACCCAGTGCATTCTGTGGCTGCTGATGGAGCAATGACAAGTGCTTTTCAATTTAAAAAGCAACTTTTTTTTTTTAAAGAAAATGGTTTCCAAATATAAATCCAGGGCATAAAATTCTTTTTGTTCTTTGACTTATAATTCTACTTTTGGAAACTGATATATAGGAAACTCTGGAATATGTGCAGCAGAACAGTTAGGACTATTATTCACAATGCTTAGTGGCTGGAAATAATCTAAACATTTAACACAGGAAAAATGATTGAGTAAGTCAGCTAGGCTAGCCATTCAGGGGAGTATTTTCAACCATTAAAAATGGCCACTATGGGCCTGGGGAGGTGTTCGGTCTGGAGAGTACTTACTGTGTAAGGCACGAGGACCTGAATTTGGGTCCTCAGCACCCGTGCACAAGCAGGGCATGGCGATGTGTGTCTATAACCACAGACTGGAGTCAGGAGGATCCCAGAGACCCACTCTCTAGTCATGTTATTAAGCATGACACAGTGTCTCAAAGAATAAGGTGGAACGTGTTGGAGGAATGGACCCAATGTCAACCCTTGGCCTATACACTTGGTGCGTGGGAGCACAGGAAATGCTGTCAGCACGCAGCCAACATCAGGTATGTATTTCCAAAGCCTTCTGGATTTTCTGTGTGCTCATCCCATGCTGATGCGCATTGAGTGGGATCACTTGAAATCAGTTTCTACTTCTTCGAACACGTTCTGAAAGGGAGGCCCTTTGCAAATCACACACCAGTAGATGGCGCCAAAGATATCTCATGGTGGATGTTTCCTGGGATAAACAGTCATCCATGGCTTTTCTCTTTTTTGGTTATCAAATATCTTTTGAGGTTAGAACCTGAGAGTTGAATAACCCAATTTATCTACAGAGTATAGAGCTGGATAGAAACTGCTGAATCTGACCTCCTATAATTGCACGGAGGAGAATACCGACCTCTGAGTGATATGGAAGAGAGGGTGGATTGGTCTAGGGTCCCATAGAAAAGCCAGGAAGCCTCAGTGTGGTCTGTAGCCCACAGCCTTTCCTGGAGAGCTGAAGGCATCAGGGGAGGCATTATGGGCTGGATTTTTAGAAAAGAACTATGGGGAGAGTGGTAAGATACAGGCTGATGAATGAGCATTTTGGCAGGAGACATCAGTGTTCAGCTGAATGCGGTCTGGACAAAAACCAGTGGGCAATCTCATAGAAGAGCTGTACACTGCAATAAAACAACACGACGGCAACTGTCACTAATTTATTACACCTTTGTTGTTGTTGCGTTTTGTGCTGTATGTTTTGTGTGTTTGTGTGCGATGGGGAAATGCATGT